AGAACATCTTATCAGAAGGGAACCAGTCAACTGTAAAAACATGAGAGTTGTTTACAGAATCTCTGGTTAAAAGGAAAGCAACACTAAGGGTGATATGTATCAGATTTAATCGTTCATTGAGATTAGTAAGAGCTCACGAGCTGGTTAAAGCATATCATAAGTAGGTTGTGTGTGTGTATGTGTGAGAGGAGAGGGGATGGTGAGCATGATTGAGTAAGATGGTATACAAGCACCAGCTTCACTCTACAAGCTGACCCCAGGTGCGCTAACTCGGGGTGTCACATCAATGCCACGTGACCAGCAAGACGCTGTGTCCAGGGCGCGGAGCAGGGCGCAAATCGTAGCTGAAACATGGGAGCCGATGTTAGGGCGCGGAGCAGGGCGCAAATCGTAGCTGAAACAAGGGAGCCGATGTTAGGGCGCGGAGCAGGGCGCAAATCGTAGCTGAAACATGGGAGCCGATGTTAGGGCGCGGAGCAGGGCGCAAATCGTACTGAAACAAGGGAGCCGATGTTAGGGCGCGGAGCAGGGCGCAAATTGTAGCTAAAACATGGGTCTAGAAAGTTCGCGAACTTTGGAAGCCGGGCCTAGGCTTGGGAACTTTGGGAGCCGGGTCTAGGTAGTTCAGGAGCAGGGCGTAAATCGTCGCTGAAGTAAAGGAATGGTACCTGAAATGTCCCCCATACCGCCTTCAATAAACAACACACACTTTAAAGATAAGTGCTTGCCCAGCACAAAGGGACTGAAGCTTAGAAATCTAGAATCAAGAAGTGACTCCGTATCTTCAAAGGCCCGTCACCCAGGAGAACCACGATTCTATCGATTCAGCTAAACTCCCCTAGAACATCCGGCTACGTCTGCCAGTACACAGTGGCCTCCCCTCCCCGTCAACAGCAGACACAGCTCCTGCCAGACTTAAGCCAGAAGCCCGGCAGATTTAACACATAAACAAGATAAAGCCCCTCTGTGGGCTGGGGGCTGATGGGATTACTGGAAGGGAACTCTGCCGTAATTTCTTCGGTTATTGTCTGGTCACGTGGGCTTCAGCGGGAAATCCCGACGTGGAGTTGTCGGGGACGTCAAATATTTTCCCCGGGAATGTAATCTGTGGGGTGACGGGTACAATTTGGGGATGGGGGTTTGGGGAGCCGGGTGTAGGAGGTTCGGGAACTTTGGGAGCCGGTCTAGGATGTTTGGGGACTTTGGGAGCCGGTCTAGGATGTTTGGGGACTTTGGGAGCCGGTCTAGGATGTTTGGGGACTTTGGGAGCCGGTCTAGGATGTTTGGGGACTTTGGGAGCCGGTCTAGGATGTTTGGGAACTTTGGGAGTCGGTCTAGGAAGTTTGGGAACTTTGGGAGCCGGGTCTAGGAAGTTTGGGAACTTTGGGAGCCGGGTCTAGGAAGTTTGGGAACTTTGGGAGCCGGGTCTAGGAAGTTTGGGAACTTTGGGAGCCGGGTCTAGGAAGTTTGGGAACTTTGGGATCCGGGTGTAGGAAGTCCGGAAATTTTAGGAGCCGGGTCTAGGCTTTGGAACGTTGGGAGCCGGTTCTATGAAGATGGGGAACTGTGGGAGCCGGTCGGGGATTAGGAACTTTGAGAGCAGGGTTTAGAAGGCTCAGTGACTTTGGGAGCCGAGTCTACGAGGTTCGGGAACTTGAGGAGCCGGATTTAGGAAGTTCAGGAACCGAAGATGCGGACTTTAGGGGCCGGGTCTAGGACCTTCAGGGGCCGATTCTAAAATATTCGAGAGCCAACTATGGGCTCAAGATCCGGTTAAAAAGCTGCGGGTACTTGATCTAGTGGATTCGTGAATCGTATATAGGGAATTCGGGAATAGGATCTATGGAATTTGAGATCCGTGTCTATGAAAATGGATAACCGGTTCGAGGAGCCCCGGGAACTGGATTTTTCGGGAACTTCGGGAGCCGGAACTGGGTACTTTAGGAGCCGGAACTGGTTACTTTAGGAGCCGGAACTGATACTTTAGGAGCCGGAACTGGTTACTTTAGGAGCCGGAACTGGTTACTTTAGGAGCCGGAACTGGTACTTTAGGAGCCGGAACTGGTTACTTTAGGAGCCGGAACTGAGTACTTTAGGAGCCGGAACAGGTACTTTAGGAGCCGGGTATTACCCCAAGAACCTGTAGGTTTCGTTCAAATCTCGGAACATGAGACATTTGTACCGTTATTCTGTAAAAAATGCCGTTCATCGACCGAATTACTGTCGGAATCAATGTGTTGTTGAGCTCGGAGCTCAGCTGTGGTGTATGGGATACAGTCACGTGGGAGCTTAGATAAACCAAGATGGCCTCGCTTAGAACAAGTAGACTCTGGTGTTTTGTTGAATAATTGATGGCCTACTATACTAGACATGAGATACTGTACTGCTATACAAGTACACTCTGGTGTTTTGTTGAATAATTGATGGCCTTCTATACTAGACATGAGATACTGTACTGCTACACAAGTACTCTGGTGTTTTGTTGAATAATTGATGGCATTCTATACTAGACATGAGATACTGTACTGCTACACAGGTACACCTGTGTTTTGTTGAATAATTGATGACCTTCTATACTAGACATGAGATACTGTACTGCTACACAAGTATAATCTGGTGTTTGGTTGAATAATTGATGGTCTTCTATACTAGACATGAGATACTGTACTGCTACACAAGTATAATCTGGTGTTTGGTTGAATAATTGATGGTCTTCTATACTAGACATGAGATACTGTACTTCTACGTTCAAGTTTTGCGTTGGAGAAGATAATACAATTGATGAATATGATAATAATGATTATTTTATTGTTTCTGATAATGTTGTTGTATCTGATATTGCTAATTGATGTGATTATAATGTTGATGTCGCTGATGTTTTTTGATGTTGTTAAGGTATGGGATGATGACGATGCTGTTAAGTGTGATGTTGGTACTGGTTAGATCACGTATACAACGTGTCGTATGTGGCGTATACCACGTAGAAATATATAACTCACATAGAAAAAAAATATTTTTTAAACAGTGTCCGCCACCCCCACCCCTTCGTAATTTTTAGTGCGCCCTCAGAGAAAAATAATTGTCTGAAAGAAACCCTGGTACAAAATGTTTTAACATGAAATTCAGAATTTCGAACTGCACACGCCCCTCTCCCAACCACTTCATTTTATTTTGTATCAGTTTTTTTTTTGTTCGCACGAAACTTGTCAGAGATTTGAGAGCATTGATTTGGCCAACAGGGACCGTAAAGAACGGCTAAACTTGACCGTTCGATGTCCAGACCCTCCCAACGATCGAACCAAACCCTTCACGCGGTGGGAGAATCGATTAGCGGCTCAACCACCAGATTACGCACCTGTCTGTCTTGTGGGACTTAGGGAAAGATTTTCCCGAGGATTTACATTGTACAGGTTTGTGACAGATTCTCGTTTGCAATCTTGTGGGTGGTTTTTCGTGTTTTTGTGGGTGGTATTTTAAATATGGTTGGTTTATGAACTATTGCTTGTGGTAGTTTTTCGTAATCATATGGATGGTTTTTCAAATGTTTTTTGTACTCTTGTGATTGGTTTTTCGAAATCTTATGTTGGAGGTTTTTTATTTTCAAACGGTTGTTTTTTGTACTCTTGGTTATGGGTAGTTTTTTTTTTGTGTAATCTTATGGGTGGTTTTTCTTAATCGCTGCTGGTTTGTCGTAAAATTTAACTAATATTGCAATGGCCCCAAAATAAAGCTACTAATTAAGAATGAATTACAATTTACAAACACGCCTTACCAGCAAGCATATTAACATTGTTGTCATAATCACAAACTTCAACATAAAGAATCCTCTAATACGTCATACCACCACATTCACACCAAAGACATTAGCTGTAAAGATATCTAAAAACGAATATAAAAACTATTCGCGGAATTTCAGCTTAGATTTTAGATGCAAATTGTAGCTAAACCGAGCGTCAATTCAAGGCCCAGGTGTATTGCTACATAAGGGATACTATCGTGCAATATTATTTTCGCGTATTGACTTATGGCTAAAACTAGAAATTGTTTTGGCTTTTACTACCCCCATCCCGTCCCCTGTCTTCTTAAAATACAGTTGTTAATGGTATATTTTAGCCACGCACCCCCCCCCCCCGCCCCCAATCCTTCCATTTACTGGTTATGCCTGAGTTAAGTTACCCGACAATAATATCCACAGCGAGTGTATAGGGCCTAACCACGTGTTAGTCGAGTGATTTAGGAAAAAGAGTATTTTTGAAAATCTTTGTATTCTTCTACATAATTTAGATCTTGTAGTAGCAATAAATTAGCAACGTTGTGAATAAACTACACCAGACAACAGAACCTGAAATAGATTTTGTTCAGGCTCAGGATTAAGCGGGAAGGTTTAGCTAACTTGTTGGAGAAGACGAGCGTGAACTACAAACTAATTCACAGACACGGAAATAATGTTCCCGTTGGAGAAATCAATTTTAATTAATATTTTAAAATTAATTGGCTTTTTTTCAAAAAATTAAAATGCGTTTCAAGGGAGACGGGTGGGGGGGGGGGGGGATTGAAGAATAATGTCATTTTGACGTGGGGGGGGGGGGGAGGACGGGATGGGCTTTAAAGGTGCGACGTCATTTTTAACGAACCCTTCAACCTAATATATCCCTCAACTTGCAAATCATCACCAGTTTTATAATTCTAACGGTGAGCTATAGAGTATGCCATAATTACCGGCTGTTAAAACACCGGTGAAATATATCACCTTAACAAGTATCAAAACACCCCACTCTACCTCCACTCCTAACCACTCCACGCCAACCTCACATCCCTCCTCCCCACAAACACACATTCCCCCACATCCCAGCCTATCGCAGCACTAATTGGGTGTTGGCGTTCTTGACGCGGATAATCTTCTAATATTATCTCCCCTGTCAAGAAAACACGTTTTTAACACCCTGGACAAACACACGCCATCCACATCGACACAACAGCGACAGCAACGAGAGACTCACCTCGCCACCTGCAGACTCGTGTCACACGTCTAGACGACTCTGGCAGATTACAACACTCCAAAACTTTGAACACCTGTTGACACGGAGTTCACCAGACTTCCGGTTGGTATAAAAACAACTCACTACAGTTTAGATTACAGCATGTGATAGTCTGAATGCACGGAACAAATCACATTCATTCCGCTGATAAAATTATTCAGTGTGTGTTATCCCACGGTCGGCGCATCGTTGTCAACTCTCTCATCAACCCTCGGCCAATGCCGACCGCGAGAAAATCGGATGGAAAAAGGGGAAGTAACTGCGAGATGGGGAAATAAGGGGAGGCGAGCGCCTTCAAAGTGAGCGAGCCGGGCTATCGATCGCCTGCTCTACGTGTGCTGACAGCAGGCGACATTTTGTCCTTGACGATGCGACATTTTTACTAAACAGTTTCATCTGATGGAACAAGGCTATCAACGGACGGCATGCGAATATATTTTTTTGATGAGAAATTTGCGCGGTGATTTTCTCGCTGTTTTACCGCGTTGTGCAAGACATAGTTTAATGTTTGCATTACAATCATACATGATTCTAATGTTGTGCATTTATATGTCATTTAATCGGTGGACATATAATGTAACCATAAAAGAGCCCCACTAGTAAAGGTTAATGCTTGAATCCAATTATAATTAGAACTTAGACCATTGAAGAAAACTTGTTTTGTTGAATCAGAACCATTTTCAGAAACCTAATATGGGAGTTTCTCTGGGAGCTTAATTTGAATCCGATAATTTAAATAAATAACGAAAACGAACAATCAAACTAATTTTAGCATGTTTGCCCCTCCTATTCCTATAGTATTAGTATTAAGTTGTAGATCTAAAAACCCTTGGAGCCGTAGATCAGTTATCGCAAGAGCTGTAGTTTACTGAGCGCTGGAGCTGTGGATACCGGCTTCTGTTTTGTAAGGATAGTGTCAAGATTTTGAATGGAATTTTAACCCGACGTTTCTAATCTGTTCATTCCGTTTGAATGCCGTCTGTCAGTCAACCCAGTAGAATCAAACAACCCAATTTCTACCGACCAACAGAAAGTTGACAGCAAGATAGCAATATGTGGTCTCGAACCTCAGCCAACAAAAAAACGTCGTTGAGAAGCTTTTCAACAGCTTCAACGTTATATAGTGGACTTGCTCATGTTCTCTACACACACAAGATGACGCGACAACTGACGTCATTGGACACGATGTCGTGACTATTGACAACCCATCACTTAAAAAAGATGACGCCATAACTTACGTCATGAACAACAACACGCATACACTTAACAAGCTTACCAGCTCCCACCCCCACCCCCACCCACGTACGTCCTTGACAACAACGACTACAGAGCACGCTACAGCAGCATTGACGGCTGTAAACATTGCACAGTCTGATCTAGTTCCACCAGTCATGTGACACGCACGTTTGATTTGAAATGTGATCTATTTAAGCGAATCACGTGACATCGGAAAATATTTTAAAGTATTGACATGCCCTGATGTCACATTTGTGACAGAACGCAGTCAGAAAGTAGAGAAAGGGTAGACTTAAAGTAGAGTGAAAGGAAAGTAAAAGTAGACAGAAAGTAGACACAAATTAGACAACACGACACCGATTCGATGGAGTCGACTTACAACATCTGATCGAGAAAAATGAGTTTATAAATCTCATTCCAATATTAAAATAATGCAAAATATTATGTTTAAACATTCATACAATATTTGTTTTATACTTTTCTGACATTGTACATGAGTTTTCTTGTAGCTTGTATTATTTACAGTATCAGTATAAATGCACATTGATTTGACCTAAAAAAGTGGACATACTGCGTTTGTTCTCTATACCCTCGATATAGTGATCTGATTTAAGGTCTCGCGATTTGAATTGAACTCCTTTAAAAGGAAAGCACGAAACAGGTTACTTGAAGTGTCATTTTATGGTTTCTTTTTTCCATTATTGTTTTTTTAGGTCACGTGAGTTGATGAGATCACCGCACGTCACTCGGATTAGACCATAAAATGGTGGGATTAAGATAATCTGAGAAGGGTGAGCACACGTAGGAGAGTGTTAATTAAGCTCTCTCGTGGGAGGGGCGGAAAACCTGATGATTTTAGTCAGCTGTCCAGTCTACTTTAGTCACGGAAATTTTTGTCTAAGGCACTTTAGTCCAGTTAACGTTAATCCAGTCAAGCGTAGGACATTGCTCCCACACAAAATTAGAATAATCGTATCAATAACTGCAGGCATTTACTTCTATTTTTTGAAGGAAAAATAGTCATTGAACACGTTTTAAATTTCTAATTTGGGTTGATAATATTTGTTTGCGACATTTATTTTGAGTTAACGATTTTTACATTTGACCTGTGTTCATACGTTTGGTACATCTGAACTGTGAAGTTATGTTGTTTTTTACAAGCTTTTATTTAACTCACTTCCTCTGTCTGTCGTCAGTCGTCAGTCTAGACGGAAACGCAGGAGTGAAAATTCGGACAGTTCTACTTGACCGACACGATTCACAGTTGGCACGTGGGTCAAGACATGAAGACAATGCAATCTGAAACTAAATTTGACTTAATTGGATGCCTAATTGATTTTTTACGAATTAACTAAAATTTGGACCGAATTAGTAGGCATGTCTAGCCAACCACACCACACGCGTCATCAATAGCTGCGCCATCACGACCACGTAATGGCTGCGTTCAAAAACCATTGCGCGCCTACTGAACGTGATATTCAGTAGGCGCGCAATGGTTTTTAGTCATGTAACTCTATTGTAGATAAAACATGTAAAGTACTGAAAAAAAATTCATAAAAAACGTTTTAATAACAAGCTTTTATGTAATGATGCACTAAAAAGTAGAAAATAAATTATAGACTACTATTTAAATAACTATAAAGAAAAGCGTGGGTGTCTTCCTTAACATTAGTAAAGGTATCCAATAGATACTAAAGTGACCCACGCTTTTCTTTATAGTTATTTAAATAGTAGTCTATAATTTATTTTCTACTTTTTAGTGCATCATTACATAAAAGCTTGTTATTAAAACGTTTTTTATGAATTTTTTTTTTCTATTGTTTTTCTTTTCTTTCTTTTATTTTATTGTTTGTCGTCTCCAAGATGTACGTGGTTATCAACATAAACATGATATTTTTACCATTGTAGAAAAAAAGTCACAGAAAATATCACAGGAAAAAAGTCACAGGAAAAAAGTCACAGGAAAAAAGTCACAGAAAAAAGTCACAGAAAAAAGTCACAGGGAAAAAGTCACAGAAAATATCACAGGAAAAAAGTCACAGGAAAAAAGTCACAGAAAAAAGTCACAGAAAAAAGTCACAGGGAAAAAGTCACAGAAAATATCACAGGGAAAAAGTCACAGAAAAAAGTCACAGGAAAAAGTCACAGGAAAAATGTAAGTTTTAACAATAAAAAAACAACAAACAACAGTTTCTATAATTTACACTAAACTATTTTATTTTAGTATGTGTCCAAAAATATAATTTCGTGAAATACAATGCAGCGTTTCATCTAATAGCGGTGTACTGTAAGCTGCAATATTTGAGACAACTTTAATTACACTGCGTAATTAAGACAAGTTTAATTAAAGTATCATCTAACCAAATCCCTAGAGGCTGGGTCCTGGTTCAAAGTCGAGTATTTAAGTTCAGAAAGGTGAGGGCGTGTCACGCTTCAATAACAAAACAGATATTACTGGCGTCACATGTACGGGATTGAGGAGGGGTCAGGGGGGTGTGCCGACATAAAGCTTAAAGTTTGATTTTTTTAAACCCAAGATTTGTTATCTACAATAGCCAATATATATATATATATATATATATATATATATATATATATATATATATATATATATATATATATATATATATATGTATATATATATACGTATATATAGGCTATATATATAAAAATTGATGAATAAGGGTATGGATACCTTGAATAATCCCTCTGGCTGCCACCACCAAGAGACGCCGCAGACGACAATATCTGTCCCAGCAAACGAGAGATTTTCACTCATCACTGGCCACAATATCCCCAGCCCAATATCCGGGCTGTACCATAGTGTCCAGCTCATCAAACAACTGGTTGGCTTCACTGGGGGTTGGCAGATTGTAAACATGACTAGTATGGCAGAATTATAGATGTAGGCTACACACGACTAGTATGTATGACCACTTGTGTCGGGGGGGGGGGGTGTTGGACGAGCGTGAATACAAATGGTATCGACATGTCTTTGGCACTGTCTGTGGTATAGAGAAAACATAAAAGTCGAATCAAGATACGAGGCTTATGTAGTTACGTTTTTTTCTTGGCGACTATAAGCCTTTTAAAAATGCCTTATTTCCTAAAATCTAATCGATGGGAGAAAGTATTCAATTTACTAGGTCTCAAAGATTTTAAATAAGTTTGTATTGGCCATATCATCATCATCATCATAATCAACATCATCATCATCGTCGTCATCATCATCATTAACATCACCATCATCATCATTATCATCATCACCATCATCACCATCATCATCATCACCATCATCATCATCATCACCATCATCGTCACCGTCGTCATCATCATCATCACCATCATCGTCATCATCATCATCATCGTCCTCATCTTTCAAGTGAGCACCATTTCGTCATGTCTCTAGCAACAACCTCTGCCTGTTGCAATGTCACGCCTCTCTCCCCCAACTCTACATCCATTGACTTCCGTGTTTCTTTTAAGCCTTCCTTGTTTACCTTCGCCCTACTATAAGACATGGGTCTCAAACATCTAAAAATAACTTAAAATATATCGTTTTAAATATAGGATTCGTATTTATTGTCTCACTGCATTCATTTGTCGTCCCCAGTATAAGATAACGGGTTTCTGTATAACTTTACAAACTGCGTCCAGCAATTAACATTAAATATTTCACAACAATTATTTTCTCTTTCAAACATCGAAACGAAAGTAAGAAAGGCTTATAAAATGTTGCAGTAAAGAAAGGCTTATAAAATGTTGCAGTAAAGAAAGGCTTATAAAATGTTGCAGTAAAGAAAGGCTTATAAAATGTTGCAGTAAAGAAAGGCTTATAAAATGTTGCAGTAAAGAAAGGCGTATAAAATGTTGCAGTAAAGAAAGGCTTATAAAATGTTGCAGTAAAGAAAGGCTTATAAAATGTAGCAGTAAAGAAAGGCTTATAAAATGTAGCAGTAAAGAAAG